TGTTTCCTAAATTGAATGAAATGTCCTTGCAATTGAGGAAAAATTTTCTCTAAGCAGGAACAGTGATAGTTGCACATTGAACTTCCACAATGAAACAGGCAAAGTGTGGGAGTCTATCCCCATCATTTCAAGATTGGTTCCTAAAAGTACATATAGATAAGGCACAAAAAAAATATCTACCCATAATAAGGCCTGCTTTAATATTATTAATTCAACCTTGCCTGAAAGGAATGCAGTGCTGTAAGCTGACATTGAAGCATGACATCTAAATAGCATTTGCCATGCCAGAGTAAATATTAAACCACATTATCTGACAATCCTCAGGGAATGGCCTTGCAATGTCAAGACCGTGGAAAATGATGGGAAATCAAATTCATAGAAATTTGACTTAGATGTTCAAAATAAAATGAATCTCTCTCATTGAGTGCATGCAGGGATGAGATGATAGCAAAATGATTGCACAAGCAAGACAGCTCGTTGCTACAAAGATGAAGGAGGTTAGATTGAAATGGGTTTCACGGTGGACTTTTATGATCACATTTATATATTCCTTCATCAGGCCGTTTTCAGCTGTAGTTTCTACACAGTATCCAACGAGATGGTGGAATACAAAACCATTACAATGGGGGTATATGTACGTTCTCCATCACTAGAATCACCTAACTGAAGCATGCACAATGTTTGTTCTCATAAGCTACATCTCATGTTTTCCTGGAAGTATAAGAGTTACCTCACTAGTGACAATGTGTAGATACCAAAAAATGTTATAGGAAAAAGTTGGTCTTGAGAAAAATGGCATGTTTAGAGACTGGTAAACATACAGTGTGTTGGATCTAAAAGGGACCACACGAGAGTGGCAAGACACACAATGGACAGGTATTCAGAGGTCAGATGTAAAGGAGTCTTCATGACAGACTTCAAATGAGGTCAGAATAGATTAAGAATTATTTTCCAGGTCTCACGAAAATCAGATGCGAGTCAAGACCAGAGTTAGGCAATGTTAAAACTGTGACATGTCATGCATCTCACTTTCAGCATAATGTTGGGGTGCTCCATTTTAGAGGAAACAACATATCCTATAACCTCTACTCTGGTGTGAAAAATTCTGTTGAAGTGGCAGTATGGAAGCCTGGGTCAAGATCATATTCTGTTCTTTATTCTACATGTTTCATACAGTTTGCCCAAAGATCTTAGTTAGAATCACTAAAGCCAAGCCTAGGCCTCTAACTATAGTTGATGTTTGGATGCTGTCACCTTTCAGCAAGGCTCGGTCACATCCCAGTTATTTGTTTGTTTATTTATTTATTTATTTAGATTTTTGAGACAGGGCCTCTCTACATAGCACTGGCTGCCCTGAAACTTTCTATGTAGATCAGGCTGGCCTCAAACTCACAGAGATCCTTATCCTCTGACTCTTGAATTCTGGGGTTAGAGGTGTGCGACACCATGCCTGGCTCCAGTTTTTCTTTATCCTTTTTTAATTTTTGTGGTATTATGGATTTAACCCAGGGCCTTACATATTCTAGGTAAGTGCTCTAAAACTGAACTTTGTCCACAGTACTCTTCCTACCTTTCATTACAGGGTCATGTTATGTTCACTAGGCTAGTCTTCAACTTACTCCACAGCCAAGGTAGGCCTTTAGCTCATTATCTTCCTGCTTCAACTTCCTGTTTATGGAGGATCATGAACTTGTGCCGTCAGGCCTGGTTCACATGCTAATCCTACAGCATACACAAACTCCCCAGGAGCATCTACCTGCCACCCTTCCTGTACAGGCAACTTTCTAAAGGTGTTACATACTGGCAACTGTTCTATGTTTTCTTAATGCAGACATAGCTGTTATAGACTAATGCAACTTTATTTCAAAGGAGAGAATGAGATGCTTATAAATACAAATGGAAGAAGCCCAGACCAGCATGCTGTAAGGTCGTGTGTCCAAAACCCAAACACTACTACTCCCAGGAACCTCTTTTTCTATTATCAGACTTTCCAGCCTACAGAAAAGGCCAAGTGAACCCTCCAACTTCTCCCCAACTCATTTCTCACAGAATGCAACTCTTTGTCTCTGCCTTTCCACTGAGGTATCCCAAACTCCTCAGGTGTCATCTAGATCCTGAAATGTTGTTTATTGTCTAGTCTGTTAAGTAACATGGAAAACAGGAAATAAATAGTGATGACATCATGCCTATGTACTGTTGAAAGATAGAGAATCCCAATCCCTTTTCTCTTCTAACCCTAACCCTAATCCTAATCCTAACCCTAAACCTAAACCTAACCATAAGCCTAACCCTAACCCTAACCCTAACCCTGTCCAGTGAGGAGAAGCTGACGAAAGTGCATGCTGGGAAGATCACTTGCACGTAGTTCCTCAGCTAGGAGCCATGTGGAGGCCCAGGAAGTCCAGGGCACCTGTAGTGTTCTTCCCCACAGTATGGCAAAGCTGAGTGCTCCCCCACATGGTCTTCCTTTTCTGCGTAGCTTCACAGTCTAAGATTCCAAATGTTCCTCCCACACTACATCTCAAAGGGAGCCCCAATTTCCTGTGGGAACACAGCCATATGTACCAGCTATGGAGCTGAAGTAATTTCAATTTTGATTCTTTTATAATGGAAATGAAGCTAACTGGGCTGAGTACAAATGAACTGAGAGTTATTTAAAACCTCTAATACGGCCACTCTAGTAAAATGTAAGCATGCTGCCACAGAACCACAATGACTTTTTATACATTGGGTGCTAGCCTCCATGTGTGTGGAAATGTAAGGACTTGGGGAGGTAAACAATGGGCTTTGGGAAGATAAAATATATGAAGAAGCCAGAAGTGATGTGAGTAGGAGAAGTGTTGTAATGATACTATGGGGCTGAGTTTACCTTCCCCCAGAAACCACAGCACATCATGGAGCTTTGTTGCAGAAGGCTAAGGCAAGAAAGAATGCAGTAAAAAGGCTTCTTGGGAGCAGGATCCTGCCAGCTGCACGGGAGGTTGCCTGAACCCTTAGGGTAAATGAAACGGTAAAGACCTTGCAGTCATTTTTCTAGTCCAGCACATCTACAGCAGGGTGGGGAAAAGGAGGTAGAAATCTCAGGTAGGAAAACACCAAGCTGGCATTCTCAGAAAGGGATTTAGAGGGCCATCAGCCACCATGAGTCACTTCTCATTTTCTATCTTCTCGCCTCTTCCCTACCTGCCTATTCCCTCCTTCTACACCTCATCGCTCAGGAGAGATGGGGTCCTGCCTGCCACTCTTCTAACATTTCCTGTTTTTTTCCCAGTTATTAATTCTATCAAGTAAGGCTGCCACAAATCAGTTCCTGGTAGTCAGAATAATTGCTAGACACAAATTAAAAATCCTCAGCTGGAAGCAACACTTCGAGTTCAAGCCTAGCCTGTTCTACCGAGCAAGTTCAGGACAGCCAATAACAGCTAAGGCTACACAGAGGAACCCTATCTCAAGAAACCAAGCCCAACAAACAAACAAACAAACAAACAAAAATAAAACAAAAACCCACCAACCAACCAACCAAACCAAAAATGCCCCCAAATGCTCAAGCTAGGGAGCTTGAAACAAAGAAAGAAGGACTGAAGGCACAAGGAAACATATGCCCAGAAAGACAGAATGAAATCAAGTAGCCATCATGCCGTGCCACCACACAGGAAATAGATAGAAGGGGGCATTTGAAATGAATTTAGTAAGAAATAGGCAGAAGCCCATACACTTTAAAAGATTTATTTTATTTTTAAAGTATGTGTATGTGTGTACATCTGTGTGTGGGTATGTACAATTTTGTGCAGATGGCCCTGGAAGCCAGAGGTGTTGGATCCTCCTGCCTAATGTGGGTGCTAGGAACCAACCCCGGGTCCTCTGCAAGAGCAGTATGCAGTAACTGCAGAGCCATCTTTCCAGCCTCAAAACTTGGTCATTTTTGATGATTTAAATACAGGTGTGAAAAAGTTTAATTTTTGTATGATAAAATAAAACCTTTACACCAAAGTGTTTCTCTGTCTTAAAGGACAGATCATAGAACTGTGAAGGGGTCGAGGATGGCAGTGCTGAGGGGCTGTTTTCTCCTGATCTTAGGAATCAGAGACGTCCTATAGAACATTCAGTTGTCATCCGTATAACTACCATCACAGCCCTTCACAAAAATCATGCTGAGAACTGAAATCAAACCTTTTCTCAGAAAATACAAGGGAGAATGAAACTAGAGATGACATTCCAAAAGGAGAAAATACCTGTCCTCTCAGAGGAGCAGACGTCCTGATACCTATGCATATACCTGTGCTGAGCCTTTCTTATGCTTGGATGATCTTTTCAGAACAATCATAAAGTGACGGTGCATCCAACTGTCCATCAGAAGTTAGCTCAGCATGCAGTTCTGACTCCAGCCATGTCCAGATCTCAGCTAGGCAGAATCCAAACCTAACTGAACTCTGGATACTTGAAAAGGTAGTTATTTCTATGCACATCAAATGGCAAAGCTTTCTATTCAGAGTTAACATAACTATCTGAGGATCTACTTTCAGTGAAAATTTGAGTGGACAGGACAAAGCTAAGAAATGAGAAGAAGAGGAAGTACTAGCAACTATGAAACTGTAAGATAATTCTATGTCGAAAATTATGCCTGAATCTTTAATGAAGTAAACAAATACAGCCTGAACCTCATGCTTCCATTGTTTTATAGGAGAACAACACACATAAATTAGAAGTTATTAAACACTATGTAGAATATAACCGAACAATTATAGCTTCTTTAGCCTGCAAGCAATATTGTCTACTCTGCTGATGGAATGTTTTCTAAGAGTTACTAGTGCCCCCTTACAGACTTTATCCTTCATTGCAGATAGATGTTTTCTCCCAAGGTCATCTCAAAAGATCAAAGAGGTCAGAGGTGTACATGTCACTTGGTTCCAGTCTCTGTTCTTTTTGGTCAGAGATTTACCTGGAGGATGCTAGTGGTTCTCACTTCCAGTACAGAGTCAGTTCACTCCATAGAATCTTACCTTTGATGCGCGGAAGGAGAAGGCTGTGGACTTGGTGTCCGATTTTCCCCGATCTTGTAGAAGAAGGCCTTGGTCCTCTGTCAAGGCCAGGTAGTGGCCTGTGGTGAGATGCCGGAGGCGGAAGGCCTGGCCCCACCTGATGTTACTGCCACTCCAGCTGGCAAAAAGCACATGCGAAATTGTATTTACACAAAACTCAGTGCTGTTCAACATTTATCCTGTACTTTCTTTTATTTTTTTTAAAAAAATTAAAGCAACCTTATTTTACATACCAATCTCAGTTCCCTCTCCCTCCCATCCTCCTGCTCCCCCAACATCCTCCCAGCCTCCATCCACTCCTCAGATTCTCAGAGAGGGTGAGACCTCCCACAGGGAATCAACAAAGTCTGCTGAGTCAAAGTCACTTGAGGCAGGACAAAGGCTCCCCCTTCCCCAGTTTCTAGGCAGAGCAAGGTATCTCCCTATAGTGAATGGGCTCCAAAAAGCCAGTTCATGCACTAGGGATATATACTGATTCTCCTACTACTTATCTCACAAGCTGCCCAAGCGACCCAACTGTCACTCACATTTAGAAGGCCTAGTCTATCCTGTACTTTCTTAGACCCCAGAGTTATGCTCTCTTCTGGGTCTATCAGGTCAATGAACTGTCTGTCTACAATTCAGTAAAGTGCTTTTCTTTGACTCCCCTTAAAGGCAAGGGCCATGATCCTGATGGCAGGGTAGTAATACTATGACTGTAAATCCTGAGTTTCAACTTATTCTGTCTGCCAATATGCACTGTTATGCAAACTACCTCAAGATGACGGGAAGACCTCCTTTCTAGGAATACTTGTATCTGGGAAAGCAGTCTTTCCATTTGGTTATTAGAATTCCAATATTTCACCATCATAAAGAGTTCTATCTTCATTATAAACAATAAATCAAACAAAACAACAAATCAAATCTATAATCACTGCAATTTATGCCTGTCAGGAGGCAGGTAGTAAGGGATTCAATAAGGAAAGAGATGTCCTGTTACATACAAAGGAGACATATTCTGCAGGAAAAAGTAAACTAGGATGGAAGGGTAATAAGGGAATTTCAGGTGAAATGTCAATCTTTTCATGGCCCTTCACCAAAATGGATTAGCATTCAAAACAAGTTAAGGTAAATATTAGGGGAGAAAGGATCCATGGGATCAAGTTTATCCTGAGAGTTAATGCCAAACTTTAAAATTATTGTCTACTTTTTCAATGTTTAGGAACACTTGAGAATCAAAATCATATGATAAAAGGTCTAAACTTTTTACACAGAGATATCTGATATAAAGAGCTAACAGCTACAACTATGGAAGTATGTATATACCTGCTTTGACATTTGAAAGGTCCTTTAAACAATAAGCTTGAGCAGCAAGTGAATGAGTGGGTGCCTCACTAAAGATTAATCAGCATTTCTCTCTCTCTCTCTTCCCTCTCTCTCAAACACACGCTGATATATATATATACACATATCTATCTCACTTTTGTTTTTAATTATACAACAGTGATATACTCCAAAACAGCATCTTTAATAGTTTCCCAATAAACTATGTAAATGAGGCAAAAAAGGAAAGGGAGAGAGAGGTATAGAAGAGTTTACACTATTTTCATCTGTAGTAGACCTTCTTTGGGGGTAAAATCTCAATTGAGCACATGTTTAGGGAATACTGGTAGGGAGGAAATAGAGAAGGTGAAACAGGTGGCAATATTAATTTTCCCTTTCATCCCTAGATGTTTAGCTCTAACCCAACTTACCTATATTCCCAGAAGAAAGGACCTACTTTCAACCAGATGGGCTTTCAGTATTTGGAGTTTAAAGAACAAGTTATTCAAGCTTTAAAAGCTGTTACTCAAGTTCATGGTTGGAAAAATCAGCCTTTGTTCCTTCCACCTACATACATTACTATTTGAAATATTCTGACAAATTTTCTTCATAGCTATGTGAAGTTTGAATCTTATTTTACTAGCACCATCATGACTACCTGTCTAACTTTTTGGTTTAAACATAGCTCCTAACTGGAGCCAAGACATTCACTGAAGGCTTCCAGAGATTTTGTTTAATAAAATAAGGGAGAGTGAATGGGCTCTGAGGGCTTTAGATGGTAATGTCAGAGCTAGCATATGTCTCTACCCCTGTGTGTGTGTGTGTGTGTGTGTGTGTGTGTGTGTGGTTACTTGTAATCAAAGCCATAGAAATTCCATAATTTAGCTCTCAACCATGAACTTTTGAGGGTTCATCTCAAGACGTATAGCAAATGATAAATATGGAACATCTGGACCATGTGTTACCTTATCCGAAGGGGTTCCACTCTCCATAGAGACCTGGCTCTGGTCCCAGCTCCTCCAGCTTCGTAGAACACCCTCCTGTGAGCAGAGTTGGAGATCAGCACTAGTTGTGGGACAGCTCCTTGTAGAGGACTCATTCCAGTTGGTGAAGTCTCCCCAAGTCAGCAAAACTCAAAAGGAGGCTTGATTGTGGGTTCTTAGGACAATAAAGGCCACCTAATGGCAGGGGACTGCACCCCACATGTCATGTAATGAACACTCATGGGTTACCAGAGGGACAGTGGGAAAAAGGGATGCCAATCTCTCCCATTTCTTCATTGTTAAAACAGCTCAGTCATACCATGTTACTGATAATCAAGAAAGCTCTGAGTCTTTCAGGCTAGGCGTCTCCATGTAACTTAATGTTTCTGATAAATGGATTTTTACCTTTAAAACACATGTGCAGTATAGTGTGAACCCCTTGTCATTGCTCTAGGGATCCTGGATGAAGTTGTGTCTCCGGCTGCCATAGTTACCATGGTTCCATTATTGAATGGTTTCTTTCTTTCCAGCTTAAGAACTATGTTTTAATATGCTTGTAAATCACCTTTGTTTTGGTTTAATTTTAGATTCTTGAAGAAATTTCACAAACAGTTCACAGAGTTTCTGTATAGTATCGCTCGATGCCCCTCACATTGTCATCTTGCACAAAGATATGTTTGCCTAAGCTGAGAAGCCAATGTTTGTAGTCAATCAATGTACTCAAACTGAACACCTTATTTATATTTAATCCAAAAATTTCTGATAGTTATTTTCCCATTACATGGCATGATCTAGAGGGTCAGAGTGGAGGTTATATCTGTCCTCTTTATTTGATCTCTTAGTGTTTCCCACTTCTCCCTTGTTCTCTTACCACTTAGAAGTTTGAGAAGTATTGGCCATGTTTTTCTAATTATTATCAAAGTCTCAATCTTTCCATCTGTACAATGGGAACCACCCTATCTAGATTACTAGTTACATGAAGCAAATTGACATACTTTTATTAGTTGTGTGTGCTGCATGCATATACATATTTGTGTGTACCTATGTATACTGTGCATGCAGAGAGGCCAGAGGAGAATACTGAGCATCTTGTTCTTGAGACCTCCAGATGAATTCAGCTCTGTCATAGTTTGTCTATGTCACAAAAGTGAATTATTGAAATCTTCAGAAGTATTTGGAGCTAGATTTTGGAAAAAAACCTTCAATAGTGATGAAGGGGAAATAGATATCCCCCCCATCATGGTGAACTAGTCTAAATTAGTTCAAAAGTTACACATTAAAATGAAAGACATTTGTATTTAGATCTGCTAGTACTATGCCCTAAGGAAAGATCTGTCAATTTTCTGTGGTTTCTGTCGTTCAGTTCCCTTGTCTGTAAAACAGGTCCAATAAGGGTAGTTATATCATGAGGTATAAATACTCAATGTGATTTTTAAAAGAATGTTTAAAAAGAATGTTCATGGATATACAAAGAACTATGAAATTCAGATTTATCAAAATTTTGTTTAAACATAGACATTTATAAACGTGTATAGAAGAACACATTAAGCTATGTGAATACAATAAAATGCTACATTAAGCATGGACACATTATCAAGGTGGTATTACAGAGGACATTTCTAAGCCTTGTTTTAAATGTACACTATATTAGAAAATACTTAGTAAAGAAAAATCTTATACTACTGTGTAGCCATAACTTCTAGGTATCTATGTACCTGTCCAAGAATGGAAATGCTACTCTACTGACTTTGCCACTTATACAGATTGACGAAGACTTTCACTGGGGCATTTCTGCCTTCAGCAAAGGCTGTAAGAAAAGTAGAGATGAAGTGGCCCACCTTGGGTCTCAAGTGGTCTAACCCTGGAACTATCATCAGAGGACACTCCAAGTCCAACTTCTGATATATTCGTAAAGGTCCATACTTCCTAAGTAAGACATTCTTGCAGCTTGTTCTGCTTAATTTAACCAGGTTACTAAGGTTGAAACAAGTTGTTCCTGCTTTCTTAAATGACTGCAATAAGGAGTAGAGTGGGTGGACAACTGAGGTGCTTTTGAAAGCATGGCTGACAGCTTAGCCTTAGCTCCAACAGGCCATGTGACTTAGCCTAGGGCGTTTGACAAGCCAGAGGCACAGTCAGGAATTTGAGTTCAGAATGTGGAACTGTGAATCTTGAGTTTCCATTCTTGGGTAATATTTCCATCAAGCCTGCCTACTCTCAGGGTTCAGAGGGAAGGAAATACATTTCATATGGGGAGTCAGTACCATAGTATGACTTAGTGGTTTCCAGAGTCCCTTAGCATTCTCTCTATTCCCTCCCCATTCCATTGACTTCAATGTTTCCAACAATCCTGGCTAGTTGAGGATTCTTTTTTCTGATAACAGACATCAATAAAGAGGCTTACCATTCACAGTCCCTAGACATAAAAAAAATTCAAAGCGTCTTGCCAAATTTCAAGAATTCAGGCTCTTGCTCAAGAATTCAGCTTCCTTGCTCAATCAGTCCCTCATGCTGCCTCACAAAGGAAAGAGACAAGTATGTCTTCTCATCTTCTTTGATAACACAGTAAGATTTAAAACTGACAATAAGTCAGACATCTAATCCCAGAACTGAGAGCAGATGCAGGCTGATGTCTGTGAGTTCAAAGCCAGTCAGATCTACATAGTGAGTTCCAGGCAGTAACACCATTTCTGAAAATCACTATCAGCAGCAATAAAAACAACTAAAATCAAATCAGCGTTAAACAAAGATGAAATGGGAAAATATCCTGCAACTGAATAAGGTCACATGACAATATTTAGGTCATGATCCATAATTCTAAGGGGAATCAGGTTGACTCCATAGTTATCACCATCAGCCACTTACTAGGATTAAGAAGGCATGGGGTAATTCAGTCACAACACTTATACAGATTATTCAGTGTGTTTTGGACTCTGCTCTATGTCACCATCTGGCTCCTATGAAGGACTTTCAGAGAATATAGAAAGTAGGAAGAGACATACTATAAGAGTCTCAAATCATCAGTGGAAAGTTTCTATAGTGATACATTCAATCCTACTGCTTCTGAGTCCTTCAGCACATGGAATAAGAAATGAGCTCTGATGAAAATACAACAAAACTCCGGTTTTCTAAGCTCCCACCTGAAATCAGTCAGGATGTCACCATTGACAGAGAAGTCTGATCAAGATGATCTCCAAATTGTCAAGATTTAGCCCTAATGTCACCAATGAAGTAAAATTAATGTAGTTTGAAAGGATCTTATATGCATGATGAAAAGATAAGAAACTGCTGTTACCAGATCAGACTAATTACTGTCAAAATCAAGCTGAATTTTGATGAGCAGTTTGATTTTTATTTAATATATGAAACTTCTACAGTCACAAGGTAGAACACTTTATGTACTCTCCTTTGAGGATAAGCAAAATAGAAATAAATCTTAAGCATATATTTACTATGTATGTTAATATCTTTCATTTCATAATTTTGAATCTTTTAAAAATTTTTATTGAAAAAAATTCACATAATATATATGATACTGTTTCTCCTACTCTAACTCCCCATCAGGTCCTCCCCACTTTCCTACCTATCCATCTTCATGCTCTCTCTCTCTCTCTCTCTCTCTCTCTCTCTCTCTCTCTCTCTCTTCTCTGTTTCTCTCTCTAAAAATAAGCATACAGGAAAAGCAATAACAAAACAAAAACTGAAAATCAAAACAGAAAAACTAAAGAAAATCAGTAAGAGAAAAAACAGCAAAAAGCATACAGGCACATAAAAACCTGCATAATATCCCTTATTACTATTAGCATATTGATTATTATGCTAAAGGAACATAGCAATAAAATGACTCCTAATGGCATAGCATTGCTCAACCCTCATCAGAGAATCTTCTTGCAGTAAATCAAATAACAAAGAGATCCACCAACCAGATCTTTATCAAACCCATTTCCCTCAAGGTTCAACTACCTACACAGAAGAGGAGGCATTAAGATAGTAAGAGCCAGAGGTGCTGGATAATTTCAAGAAAACAGTGTCTTCTAGACACAACAGGGCTGAGTCATAAATTTCGAATCTTTAACAGGAGCCCATTAAACAATCAGCTATTGGACTAAAGATAATACACATTAACACTACCTCTAGCTATAGCCCTTGGTACTGCTCCCTGCTAAGACTATCTTCTGTTGGAAACTGATGCCTAGTTTCTCCTAATGAGTTAGTAACAAGAAAAATGAAACCAACTAACTCCATGTAATTACTTAGTACACAAAGTGGGAGGAACAGAGATATGTTGTCTTTCAAGGAGCATCAATAATTTGTACAAGCACACAGTCTCCCAAAATGACTGACTTCCCTCACCAAAGGGGTACTTCAGACTCAGGAGCAGTCAAAGACAATGGAAGGCTTGGGAAACATCTTGGAGCACTGTTTGTTTAGATTGAATATAAACATATCAGTTTTGTGAGCAAACACTACTGTCTTGTGATTCCTATTTTACAAACTGGAGCTTGTGGCTAGATGGTCAGTCCAACTGAGAAATACCTACACAACTTATCTGTGGTTATATAATAATGCAAACTCTTCAATATAAGTCAATGGAGATTAGCTACAGCCCAGAGATAAAATGAGGATAGTGGCTTACCTGTGTTGAGAATCATTCTGGTCTGTAGATGGTATTGTCAAACACTCATCATGACCATGGAAAAGGCGGACTACATGCCCACCAAGTAGGTATCCTATGAAAGAATGGAAATCCACCATAAGCTGAGAGAAAACTTAAAGAGAACACTGTGTTCAATGAGGGTAAATTCATGGCTGGTTCTAGCAAACAGCATTTGGAAAAGTGTAGAGTCCATGAATTTAGGCCTCAGGCAGAAAAGAATTTTAACCCTGGCAGTTAAGTAGTGTTTCAGAAATAAGTAAGTAAAGCTAAAACACCAAGTGAAAGGTAAAACCAGGGTGTCAACTGTTATCCCTAAAAAACAAAAGGAAAATTATTGTTAGAAAGAGCAGGTTTTTCCAGTTTCTCAAGAAGCTAATAAATCAATATCAAAATTACCAGAGAAGTTCTTACAATCTTAGTGTATATAATTTGTGGCAAAATCCAAATCAAATTATGGTCATGGGATAGAAATGACCTGGAATGGGGTGATGATCTCTTTTTAAGAGCTGTTAAGGAAAAAGCAATAATAGAGCTGCTTTAGAAGAAGGTAGTTTTCAAATGTAGTTAACAAATACAGATCAAACTTGATGACGCATCTATAGTAAAAAGTGGGAGGCAGAACTACTCCAGCATGTCTGAAATGGACATATACACTAACTGCTATCAACAAGCTCTTAGATTTCAGCCAAAATGAACCTCAACAGTCATTAAGTCCAGACACTAAAAAGAAACAATGTTTTTCAAGGGCATGATGACCCACTGGTCATCAAATGAATTCCAAACATTAATTCAAGGAGCATACTAGGAGAGACAGGCCTGGCTGAGCTAGTTTTCACAAAGAAATTGGATTTGTTATTCTTCTGAATTAAAAAATCTCTAGGCTACTCTGTTCTCAGGAGACATACAGACTTAATATGCTCCATGTCTGCATTCAGAGTTTTCCTTTTTAAATTACATAATTAGATCACATGAAGGGGTTGTCTCAAACTATTGTGGATGCTGGATTGAGACAGTAACTGGTAAATCCTGCTAGAGAGGAAAATTGATGTTCTTAGAGCATATTGCACAGCGACGGTCTGATTTTTCTTAATTTATTTCTCTTTTTATGCAGGCAAGGAAAGATTATCTTAAACTCCCCTTAAATATTCACAAGTATTTTTCCAATAGTTAATTATACTAATATGTACAGTTGAATTTTTTGCATTTGAATAATTCATGGCACAGTGAAGGGAATTCCTTCAAACCCTTGATTAAACTCTTTATTCTCTCTTGGTGGCAAGACTATGTCCGTTAAGAGTCCTTCATGAATAGTTTGTGGGTTTTTTAAATCAATATTCTCATCTGAGAAGACTGCCAAATGCCAGTGCCAAAACTCTCTCTCTCTCTCTCTCTCTCTCTCTCTCTCTCTCTCTCTCTCTCTCTCTCTCTCTCGTGTGTGTGTGTGTGTGTGTGTGTGTGTGTGTTTGTATGGGTCACAGTCAGGAAGAAGGCATTGAGAGGAGGGCCACTAAGGTCCATGACAGCAGGGTGGGTTTCTCTCCTGTGGATACTAAAAGATCATTCTCCACCCAGCCCTGTGACTGAGCCGATGAGCTCTTCCCATTTCATACACACAAGGGCACTCAACACTTCTGTGAGAATCATTTGACATTATTTGCAAACACTCCTTAATTAATCTCCTCAAGCTCTCTGTTGTGACTGAGATAATTTTATTTTTGTGGCTGAAGATGAAACATTTAAAATAGAGATGGGGTTGAAACTTTTTAGAGAAGAGTTTAAGACAGGGAATCTAGGTTCCTGATAACAGGGAAAGACTGAGTAGATTCAAAGAGGTCTATTGATGTTTGTATGTATGTGCTTACATGTGTGTGAGGGGGGAGGGACACACACATACACACACACGAGGGAGAGACAGAGAGAGAGAGAGAGAGAGAGAGAGAGAGAGAGAGAGAGAGAGAGAGAGAGAGAGAGAGAGAGAGAGAAAGCCTTGGCAATGCTGGACAAATGTTCTATCACTAATCTAGATCCCCAATAAATGCCTAATTTGTAAAGACATCTCATATCCTACCAGGAAACTTAGGGTTTGCATTTCCCAATTATTTAGCAAAACTGTGGTGCCTTCTGAAACTGGGCTATCACCTTAACAACTCTCATTTCTTCCCATGTTCATACATCACAGCACAGAAGGGGCTTTCCCAGTTTGAAGCCAGGATGCTCAGGAAGAAAACTAGGGTTAAAGCCTGTGATAAGACTATTTTTAAAAATTCAGATCTTTCTGTAAGGTGTTAGAGTGGAATTCAATAACCCTTGGGTCATTGGCATTTCATTTTTCTGCTCAGCTGTGGTCTACCTATCTATGAGTGAGGTAAGAACAACGCGTTTATTACATAACCTGTAAAGCGCATTGACTTTGCCTGTCTCCAAGAAATAGTGTATGAAAACAAAGTTAGATGAGCTTATTTCCACAGAAAGAATTTAATGCTGAGAAAAATTTCATTTATTATTTTAAGGGTGCTCCACAAAGATAAGTAAATATCAAAGACCAATTATATGTTTATTTATAAAGGAAGTTCTTTCCTACTTTGGGGAGAGGCATGGCATGAGGTGGGGGATAAGCCATATTATCTTTCTGGCAAGTGATCTCTTCCAAGATGGAAGTTTTGGGACCATTTATTTACCAATAGTAACCATGAATAAAAGTGAAAACTTGGTGAGAGAGGGAAGGTATATGTCCTGCATGCTTGGAGTGATAATCTAACTATGGGCACTGAAGAATTAAAAACAAGGTTAATGACACCCATGGGGAGTCAGAATAGAAAATAATTTATACTGACATCAGATAAAGAAAGTAGGAGAAATAAAACTGTGTGTGGATGCTGGAAAATAGCAGAAAATGTTGACATACACAGCCCAGAGGGAATGTCGGGCTCAGGACTGACTGCATTACAAAGGCCTACCTTCTTCGATGCTACTTCCCGAACACGTAGGATGTACATTCCAGAGTGTTTGCATAAAGGAGGCATCCACTTGGATGCTACCATTTGATATCGAGAGATGCTGCAGTGGGAGAAGAGAGAAATCCCCTTTAAACCACTAGTCCGGGCCTGTCAGAGCTGCCGACTACTACCTCAAGGATTATATTACATGGCTTCAGCATTCTTTGCTTCTTTCTGCATAGCCCGAGTAGGAGCTTCTTTACTCAATAGTGAGGGAGCTTTATATCTGGCACTATACACCGGGAAGAAGTTAACCTGTCACTTCAGCTGCATCCCTGATTCTACATGCTTATAACATGTCTTTTTTTTTATAGGATAAGAATGCCCACAAATAGGAAAAAAATTACTTCAACATTTGGAGAAAGCTAGGAGAAATCAGCTGGCAGGATTGGCCCTGTGGGAAACTGCTGAGAAATTTAACACTTTGGCATTACTCTATCTTCAGGCATCCCCACCCTGAGCGGAGCTTGCTTGGTACCTATACTCAGATTAAAGACCTCGTATGCATCTGTCAGCCTCTGCACTAACATCTTATGTTTTTTCTTTCTCCATCAAAAGCTTATTTTCCTGTTTCTTTCCTTCCTTTCTTTCTTTCTTTCTTTCTTTCTTTCTTTCTTTCTTTCTTTCTTTCTTTCTTTCTTCCTCTCTTTCATTCTGTTTAGAGACAGGGTTTCTCTGTAGTTTTGGAGCTTGTCTTAGAACTCACTCTGTAGACATTTCTCGCCTCGAGCTCACAGAGATCTGCCTGCCTCTGCCTCCTGAGTGCTGGGATTAAAGGTATGGGGCACCAACACTGGGATTTCCTGTATTGTTTTTGCTGTCTTGTATTCCATTTGACAAGAGTCAAATAATGTGATAAATTCATAGTAAATGTGACTTAACTCATCTTAGCAACATTTTCTCAATACAACACACTAATCTGAAAGAAAGCTAACAGCTAAATTCTAGGCACTATGATTGCCTCATGGGGGAGAGACATCTTGTTCTACTTAGCCTGCTGTGGCTAGGTTTCCCTTGGCTACCTAACACTAAAGGGGGTGCTCTGAAAACAAAAGATGCTCCTGTCAGGAGGTACTTACAAGGTATCTTTCAGAGGACACACTGACGAGGATAAGGTCATCTCCAATCCGTACTTTCTCTCCTTCAGATCTCTGTTTGGAAGCAGGATGTATGGTCCACCAACAGGCTTCTCCTACATGAGGGCTGCATGAGTTAGTCTCTTTGTCCGAGAAAGCAGTGATCCTAATTCTGCCTCATATTCCTTCCTGATGACTTACCTCTCTCTCCCCTCTTCCCAACTCTCTTTGTTTCTATTTCTATTTACCTACAACCAGACCTGTTGTGTAGTATACACTCTTGACTATAGTTTCATTTTCCATGAAGACAGAAAAGGCACAATTTGGGAAAGATCATTGGAGGTCAGTATGTACAGAAGGCTGAATATTTTAATAGATATAGGACATGATTTTATTCACACTCCCTTTTACATCTTTCTTTTAGGAATAGATTTCAAAGTATGTTTTGGTGGTGTATGTAGAAGCTAGAAGATCAGAATTTTAACTAACACAAAGGAAAAGAAGCCCCTGACTTAAAAGTACACCCTGCTATGAATAGATTCCAGCAGGAAAGTGCTTGGGCTGGAGGTAAAGATGGGTTGTAAACAGGAAGAATGGCTAAAAGGTTTTAAGGACATTTAAGCCCCAGATCCCCTCCCCATCCCACACAAGCAGATGCCTCTTCCTCCCCCAGGCTGCAGCAGAATTGGTCTTGGTCGCAAACCACCAAGGGTCTGGACTTGGAAATACTCTAAGATGCTGCCAAATAAGAGAGTGGCGTCCTGCTGAGAACAGATAGCTACAGTTTATGGGTGATTAGAAATACCCCAACTTCTCTCCATTTGATGCTATCCCTCAGCTTCTAGATGACCACCTGCAAAGCTGAGAGAGCCTTACCACTCCTCAAATTTGAGGACTGTGTTTTAGGGAAGCCAATATACCAAAGGTAAAATCTACCAGAGTTTGAGACTCTCCTTCTTCAATGCTAAGAGCTCTGAAAAATAACTCCAGAGTGAGGATTAACAGATGTCGAGCTACAAGCCAGTTTCCTATCAGCTTTTATGACCCTGACTTAAATATGAGTAAAGGCAAAAAGGTCACTTGGAATTTGAGGAATGCCTCTAACATTGATATGGAAACAAACAGACAAACAAAACATGACAGAGGTGTGTCTGGGACTAGAAAAATCAAGATTGCAGAGAACAAAAACTTTAAATAATTTTATAAGTAACAATCTTTTAAAACAGAAATTATTATACTCAGAAAGCATCATGAAGGTTTCCTTAAGAAAGAAAGAAAATTACTCTAATTCTGAAGGAAAACAAAATAATTACAGACAGTCTTCCAAAAAGAACACAGAAAAATAGTTTAGAAGGAATGAGAGAGGCAGAGGCAGAGGCAGAGGCAGAGGCAGAGGCAGAGGCAGAGGCAGAGGCAGAGGCAGAGGCAGAGGCAGAGGCAGAGGCAGAGGGAGAGGCTCAGAGGCAGAGGCAGAGGCAGAGGCAGAGGCAGAAGCAGAAGAAGACTTAGACTTGAGCATGGTGTTACACACCTTTAATTTCAGTGTTCAGGAGGCAGAGGCAGGTGGATTGATGAATTTGAGACCAGCCTGGTCTACATAGAGTTCTAGGGTGACATAGTGAGATCTTATAAACAAAAAAGAATTAGAAAGAGAAGCAGTGAGAGGATAGGAGAGAGAAGCAGTTGGAAGGAGAGGCCATGTGAGGGGTTTGAAAGTTTAACCCACAGAAACAGCTGACCTGAACAAGGGGAAGCTCTTGGACCCAAGACTGATAGCTGGGAAGTCAGCATGGGACTGATCCAGACCTCCTGAATGTGGGTGTCAGTGAGGAGGCCTGGGCAATCTGTGGGGCCTTGGGTAGTAGATCAGTATTTATCCCTGGCATACAAATGGACTTTGGGTGCCCATCCCACAATGAGGGATGCTCTCTCATCTTGGACTCTTGGGGGAGGGCCTAGGCCCTGCCCTGACTGAAATGACAGACTCTGAAGATCTCCCATGGAGGACCTCACCCTCCTTGGGGATCAGAATGGGGATTGGGTGGAGGCTGGGTGAGGCTGGTGGGGGAGGAAAGGAGGGAGAGGGAGCTGGGATTGACATGTGAAGCAAGCTTGTTTCTAATTTAAATAAAAAATAAAAAAATTAAAAAGAGGAAAGAGAAGAGGAGAATGATATAACTATATTACAATAAAATTCTAGAGGAATCCCCAGAAAGCAAGAAAGAATAAGGAGTATTAATAAAGAAACAGTATCCCTAAAACTTTCCCAGAGCTGGGAAAATAAACATCTGCAAATGGATAAGGTCCCCAGAATCCCTTGCATAATTAAGCATCCACCCTACACTGTGTCCTCTTGAGACTGAACAACAGAAAGAATACACAAGACACACTGTGGTATTTCAAACATTAGAGAAAAATAGTGTTTTTAGAAGAGAAAAACAGTCACACACAAAACATCAGGAATCAGAACACGCTAGTCTCAGAAGCCAGTGAGCCTCAAAAGCCTGTAGGAAGTCAAGAAAAAATACTTTCAATACAGAATTAAACTATGAATTACTTATGAAGCCAGGATGGACAAACCTTCAGATAATTTGGTACCTGCATGCATCTTTTCTGTGAAAGCTACTGTGTAGTGTGGTTCAACAAACTAAAATAGGAAACCATAGTGTAGTCAAGAGGAAGCAAAATTTAGAAGAGGCAAGGTGAAGTCCTTGAGTGATGGTGGATATTTCTAAGAAGATGAGATAATGTGACTGATCCTATAATAATTTAGGGACATTTTTGGACCAGCGGGAAAGCTTGGAAGTGAATCCATGATTCAGCCACAGAAGACAAAACAAACCTGACTTTTGAAAGAATAATGAAATATACATATATTTAATAAACAATAGTAAGCAGTAATGGGAGTGATGAACACAGGTGCCTGAGGCAGGAATCTAGAGTAGGGAGCAGATATTTTTAATAAGCATCAAAGCTCCATTTATCTACTAAAATTATGTGTAGGTATCTGACTACATTTAAAAATGCATCACAAGAGAATTTAACCTCTACATTTGAAGTGAAAATGATCAGACTATCCAGGAAACTCTGTGGGCCATGAGGCAGCATCCAGCATGAAGAGCACATGAACAGACACACACAAAAGTGAGAGGGGCACTTCTCTGCCACTTGTCTTATCCTTGGAGCTGTTCCCCGAACTCCTAGGTTGTGCCAGTCACTGGCTCCAAAATTCATGACAGCACTTGCAAAGTCATGTCCTTATAAGTCTAAATTCTAAATCTATGTTAATGTAGTAGAATCAAAACAAAACTTTAAAAGTATGAAGAACTGAGCAACCAACTCAGTTGTACTGGTTATCTAGTTTGTGAAGTCTAAGAATTTATCAGCATGTAGGGGAAAAATCTAGACCTATTGTCAAAACATCCCCTTCTGTTTCCTCACACTTCCTCCTCGACATCCAACCCAGCTAAGGGTCAGCCTGCTTCTTCACAGGTTTCTGTACTAAGGAGCATTCACAGACTTGCCTGGTAAGGAACTAGGATTCTATTCCAGTGCACCCCGTGTGACCCTTCTTATGATAGGTTTCATCCCATAAAACCCTGAATGTCACTGGGGGAAGCCAGTGCACTCATGACTCAAGGGGAATATGAGCAGAGTAGATCAAGTGTGAAAGAAAAGAAAATTACTTCAGGCCCTAAATTTGCACGCAGCCAGCCACCCTATCCTACAGATCCCCACACAAGTCAGCTCCCGAGAAGCCAGTTTGGACTTAACCAGCTCAATTATCTACTAGGTCTCCTGTCACCAAAGTTCTTACTAATTCCGATTTCAGGGACTCAGAAAATAACTTCTGAGGGAGGATCAGAGTCTGTTTTCCTCCTTTTCATTAGAGGCTCTCATAGTAAATTAAATACATTTTCTGAGCTCTTTACTAGAAAGCACTATTTTTCTATTCTTCTCCGTCTCTCAGAAACTATAGCATTGTTTCACTACTATAAATAGAAGGATTATATATGACTTCTGATTACATGTTATAAGATTGGCATCTGACTTATCCAGAGAGGCCAACTTACATTTGTGGTGTGACATTCTACTCTATTTGTGATTTTTAGCAATGATTGACAGAATTTTAGAGGAAACTATACTTGAAAAAAAACATAAGCTGAATACAAAGAAACATCAAGTCTAATTCATACAGGATCTTACTTTAGGGGAAAAGTGGTCACAACAGTCGGAGACAGCCCTGACTTTTCCTGTATACAAAGGGAGAGGACATCATGATTCAGGCCACGGAAACAGCAGATGCAGGTGGATAGGAATTTATATTGTTTTCTGATCATCACAAAATTATATAATCTGAACCATTATTTGATACATTAGCCCCATTTCAGAACAACAGCATAGACTTTTGTTCTTTGGAGATGCAACATTGGAACTCCCTTCCTGTTAGGGGGAAATGCCATACTGTTAAAGACTATATTCCAAAAAGAATTTCTGTAATATGCTAAGTGATTTTACTTCTCTGGCCTCTCTTTCCACAGCTTGGTTAATTTTGAATCTCCAATGTCCTATTCAGTGTCCTTCCAGAAAATCCTTACTCGGCTTAAATCCTTTAGAATCAGTTTCTGTTGCTTTTGTCCACACTTCTTAATTGGTAAGAGTCCAATCTCTATCTGGAGCAGAAATTCTGTTTGCAATGCCCTTGACCAGATAGTCAGATTGTCTCTACATGTTTCCAGTCACAGGGAACATGCTACATCCCCTGGCCTGCTGTTCCTATGCTGGTTAATTGCAGATATTACAAAGCATTTTCTTTCACTGAAGTGGAATATACCTCATTTCAACTTCTGTTCATTTCACTGTTGGCCTTCAGAACAGCCCCAAAGAAAACAACATGCTCTTGATAATGTAACTTCTTACATATTTGTAGACAGTTTTCCTGGACCTCTGTCCTTCATTTCCAGACTCCAGAGAGAGCTGCCATCATCTTGGCCACCAGGGACTTGCTATGTAGCTTAGACTGGCCATAAACCTACTAAATTGTCCAGGCTGACCTTGAATGGATAATTCTCTTTTCTCAGCCTCCCTAGTACCAGGATCAGAGGCATGCACCATGTCTGACTGATCATCAATATATACATTACATTATTCACATACATATATACATACAAAATGGGAGTGACTTCCAATGTATTTGATGCTTTGTAGAAGGCAAATGACACTGGATTATTAGTATGAACTTTAAGGGGAAAAAACTCTTTTTGAACTAATTCTATCACAAAAGTTCTAAGTTTAGATCTAGTATGCTGACACTTCTTTATCATTATTTCCTCAATTATTTGGTAATGGTTTCTGTTATTGTTATATACTTTATGGCAAAAAACATTTCTCTACTTACAGAGATAGGTTCTTACTTAAAATACTACAGATAAAACTTAAATAAATTTATAGAAAAATATACAATCAATATATGGGAGATACACTGGATTTCCAAAACTGAGGCTGGTGGGCGTCATTGACTGACATTAGGGAAACTAACTGGCAATGGCTTGTTTGCAGAATACAAAGGGCCTACTTCTCTAATTTAGATATCATATTTCACTATTAAGCCCTGATGAAGTCACTTTTATTTGTTTCCTTAGCAGTTATGCAGTACCTATAGTTCTCAAGAACCAAACTGTTTGTAATGGCAAGCGATTAAAAAGGTTTCCAGCATCCAGGCTTCCGGCATCATGCTTTCACTCCTTAGACTCCATGTTTTCATGTACTTCACATGTGCTCCCTTGAATCATCCTCAAAAGATTTCTTTTTACCAGTATTCTCTTTTTCAACCACGCTGGTGTAGAATTCTAAATGAGTAACATATCCACCATCTTTCTTAAGTGTCCTTAACACAAGAGCACACTGGCTGAAGCTTGGAATGACAACTTACCTGTGGCATGTTCCCGCAGACCTACATCAAAGGCAAGTTTATCAGTCTGGGATCTTGATGTGGTCAAGCATGTTAGATACTGTGGAACAAGAGCAGATGCTAGGAGTCACACCCTTCTACCGGGTCCTGGTACCACCACTAGTTAGCTTCCCACTAATTGCAATAAATCAGCTACTATGAAATAGGTTCAGTTTCCTCCCTAATTGAACGATTGACACTATGCTTTGGGAAAATATTTTTGTTTTGAATGTAAAACCCCAAAGACAATCTTATCTGATGATCTAGTAATTCTAGGACTCTATATAGAATAAAATTGAAATACTTAATATGCTTTGGTTCAAAGCATTCTGAGAAACTTTTAACTTGAACTTGAAAACAATATAAATGACCAGCAGTAAAGAAGAGGCTAGATCGACTTTGGTTCTTCTGTTTTGTGGAGTATTGCACTATACTAAGAGTACTGGTAAAGAATATGCATGTAGCATATAACTTTATTTTTATAAGATGTTGAGCCAAGAAGTTACATAAAATAGCACATTTGTACAGTTGACATATGCAGAACACTTAAATGTGTAACGTGTGATTAGAATGAATTACATTGGAATAATAATAAAAACTGTGCTTGGATAAGTAAGGTGGGTGGGGGAAGCCAGAAAATCAGATAATTCCCCATTTCTTTTCATTTAACATTTGTTTTGGAGAATTTAATATATAAGCAATGCATCTAGCTCACTTCTGCCCTCCCCTTCCAACCCTTCCCATGTGGTTTCCCAAATTCATGACCTCGTCTATTATGCATATGTATATGCATATATATGTATGTATGCACACACATTCACATATGTATATATAATCTATTGGGTCCATGTGTCTAGAACTGATCACTTGGGGTTAGATAGCCTATGTGGGACCTTCAGTTCTTCATCTAGGGCAGTGGTTCTCAGTCGTCCTAATGCTGTGACCCTTTAATACAGTTCTTCCTGTTGTGGTAACCTCCAACCATAAAATTATTTTCATTGCTACTTAATAACTGTAATCTTGCCACAGTTATTAATCATAATGTAAATATCTCTGTTTTCTAATGGTCTTAGGTGACCCCCAGGTTGAGAACCACTGATTTGGCGGGTGACCTGTCTATGTTGCCTTGTCAATGCTAGTAGTTTCTTCCTTTCTTTTTTTGAAAAACATTTCCCGATTTTTTAAATCTCACAAAATTACATTTATCCTTTGTTGTGGATTATGACAACATATGTGCAGGTGACACTTCTAAAATGATTTTTAAAGCAGTCTAATAGAGGAAATAAACCAAGGGCCTCTTCCTGGCCTTCTTGCTGATGGCACAGTGATGTAGGCTGGGATTAGAGTGGGAGGGGATAAGCACAGGCACTGTCTAGCTTTCTGCAGGCAGGTGGAAAATGCTGCATTATAAAAAGTCTTACTTCATGGGCTTTATACCAAAACTACTTTTAAAAAGTCAATGTAGATTTTATATTAATTGGGAGTGAGCTTTATTTTTTTAAAGGACTGAATTTAGGCATAAATAGTTCAAACCTTTGCATCTCTATAAGGCTGCTAGCCTGAGTTTTAAGAGCCATTGGAGGGTATACTGTTTCAAGATTTATTTATTATATCTGTGCAGAAAAACATATCTGAGGTTCTTATTTGCCTTCAAAGTAAGCAACAGATTCTAAAGGGTGGTCACCTTTCATTTCCATAGATTGCCAGGTAAAGATGTCCCCACTCAAATGGTCTCCACCAACCCTCAGATATAGCTGGCTAGTTTGTTCTGTCTTTTACAATGGTTCTGTCTGAGAGTCAACTTCTTACCCACTGGTGACAAAATATACTGCAGAAAGTCAATTATTTAAGAAATAGCTTCTGATAACGCTACAATTTGGTAGTTCAAGCTTCAAGAAGAACTTTGTGTGGAGAACCTGTAAATGTGTGACAATAAACGACAATCCCCCTGTCCTTCTGCTAGGATTACATGCTGCCATGCCAACCTTTCCAGTAGGTGATGGGGGTGTGCACTCAGGTCCTCATGTTTGCCCAGTTAATGTATCAGCTTTATTATAAAACGAATAATAATCTTTCTTACACCAATAGCATTCAAGGATTATATACTTAGGAGCTGAGAGCAAAAAACTGTTAGAGTCAGTTCATATTATACTAGATCAACATCCCAATATTTGTAATAACTGCTTGCAAAATATGGAGTATATGCATTTTGCAAGTTATATTTATTAAAGTTTGCATACATTTCATTTCAAGCTTTTGCTTTCTAAGTTAGGCTGAATTATCACCATCCTAGTATTTTGCTTTTAAATCCCTGATTAGTATAGCCTGGACCAGTTTTCTGTGATTGCCTCATCCATTATCGTCCTCCTGCCACTGGGTTAGCATAATACCTTCCGTTTCTTCCAGGATTGAAGGCCCTGTACATCATTCCATTTCTTTAGCTGTGTACAAGTAGAGAAATGCCACAAAAATCCCGTTTGATTTATTTCATTTGTACATAAATAAATCAGTTCATTTTATCAGTGATGCATTTGAGAAATGTTTACCGGGTGTCTAGTATGCCCATGTACTGTTCTTGGTAGGACTGGTCTTAGTGAAGTTTAAAGGAAGGGAATGGCTCTTTTCCTCATGGAATGGGGCACACTCAGTAAACACAAATCCCTGGACTTTGAGAGAAGTGATAGGAAGAAAACAATGGACTGAATCATTTATATTCTGAGCTATTCTCAGTGTTCATCATTTCTTTCTCATGAATGCTGAGAGCTGTCATCTCCATGTCCTTACCATTCCACTGAAAGAGTGCCGCAGGAGAATTGCATGGCCATAGAGCAGGGTCCTGTGGCCACCCCCTTGTGCTGCCTGTGGGAATGAAGAAGAAAACTGTCAGCACATACCAGCTGTGACTTATTTGGCAGAAAAGCAACATGAAGGATTTAGGAAGCAGATCCTAAGAAAAGTAACCATGACAAAACTCCCAAAGAATTCATTTAAGAAAGAAGTGTCCAGCCAATGGGCAAAAGGAGACTTTGTGAGCATAGCCATGCAGCATCCTTGGGAGAGAACAGCAAGGCTTGCTCTTCTCCTCAGAAATGGCCACTGCCCAGGATGAACAGAAACCAGAGCTGTTCTCCACTGGAAGCATGTAAATGAGGCACACTCTGCTTACCTTCCTTTGAACTTCTCATCTCAGAAGCATCCGGGATGAGAGAGAAACAAGGGTGGAGTAACTACAGCTTGATTCAGAAGGGCAACATGGTGAGCATCAATGTGCACTTTAGGTCTTGCAGTCTTTTGTTCCCTTCTAGGCACTGGTGCTTTCTGCCCACACAACTCAAATGGTCCTTTTTACACAGATCTCACCAACCAGGGATGGCACTGAAACCCAGAACTTTAAAAGAGTCACTAGTCCTGCAGAAATAGTTCCCTTAGTGGAGAGACCCATGTGACTGTACTCTCCGTCTCCCTCTGCACATCCATTTTGATGATTTGGTAGTGGCTGCCCAAACAGTAGAGAGGGAAGTCAGAGAAGATAAAATGGCCCGAAGGAAACCAAGCCACTGGTGGCTGGTCTTCTGTGTGACTCTGATCCACACAATGCTATGACGAAGCAAACGACCTATGCTGTGAAACTCCAGTGTAGCATCCCAGTTACAAGCGGGCATGAAGAACAGTCAGCTAAAAATGACAACTAAAAACATTGCTTTGGTACCAACCTAATTCTCCTGGTATCATGCTAATCTATCCCCAGGTAACCCGTTGTTAACACACATACTCTTTTAAAAGAAGATACTTGCTGCTTACAGACTCAGTACTCCTCAAACATGTACCAAAAGAGACCCCAAAGCCTAAGACAGCTACCAAGATTGAGTATGTGTGTGTTTGCTCATTCTTATGCATGTGGAGGCCAGAAGCAGACATAGGTTGTCTTCCTTACTTACCCTTCACCTATTTTATGAGACAGGATCTCTCTTAGAATCTGAGCAGTTGGTTGACTGGTCAGAAAGCTCCTGGAACCCTCCTGCATCCTCCTCCTGGTGCTAAGGTTACAGGTGCATGCTGCAATGCTTGAACTTTATGTGGGTGCTGGAGATCAGAGCTCAGGCCCTTAAGCTTGCACAGAAAATACTTTACCTACTTAGTCATCTTCTGTGCACCACTATCAAGAGGAAGTTTAACATTTTGCTTCTGTAGTCTAAAGGCATCTTTTATGCATCCCATTCTTTTCAGAGTTGCAGACTGGCTGCCCAAGGCACTGTCTGCAGTTTTATGCCACCTATCCTGTCCCCACAAGGCATGGCAATGAGCAATACAGAGGACAAGAAGCAGGTGGTGGGGAGAGAAACAGAGGTCTGGATAACAAGCTATGAGTGATTTCATGTCAGTTCTGTTTGGATTAGCAGAATTGCTCTGTCAAAGAGATTTTTCCCCCATGTCATACAATGAGTCTAAAGAGAAAAAAGACAAATGTGGTATATTGAAAAGAGGCTGATAACTAAATATAAATGTGGCTGTGCTCACCCCCCTCCTATAGAGATATTTAAGTGTTCTCAGAATTTAATACCATGAAGGATTACATTGCTCTTCACAATATTTCCAAATTTCATGAAATCATTTGCACTAACGTCAGCTGTATTTACAAATGTGTCAACACCTTACATTAAAATTAGATATACTAAACCATTTCACATCTTGTCTGTCTAACTGGGATTGTCCCTATGAGCTTGTATCCTTAAAACTTAACTGATGTTTCCAATGGCTCATATTTCATACACACACTCTCACCATGAATAAGTGACTGAAGCAGATGTCCTACTATCAACCATGGGTTCCACTCTTCTAATTTTTCTGTGTTCCCACCAGCTCTGTCATTATCAGGAGTCAAGAGTTGCTGACTCTAAACAGCATCACAGAGTGGCCTGGGTTGTTCTCCTCTGGTATGTCCAGAAACATGGATGGGTCCTCAAGTCTCTCATTATTATGCAACCACAGAAAGAAATGGATTAAAATACCAACTGGAATTGAATGTAATTTTGCTCTGCAGACCCTTATTCTCTTTGATATAGTACAGTAAGTTGTGGATGCTGGGGGAACATCAGAATCACCAGATCTCCCATTCCACAGTGGTTATTTCAGTAGGTCTGGAGCTGGCCTGAGTATGCATTTCTAATAAGGTCTGGGTGATACTGGTACTATTGGTCTAAGCCCAAGATTTTAGAATTTCTGATAGGGGAATGGATGGCTCTGGTGATAGGATGGAAGAGGAGCCTTCTATTTCTATTATAATGCTGATTGCTTCTATGGAGCACATGCTACATATGCATCAGGTGATTTACATACTATCATAGCCTATCTGCACGATGACCTTTTAAGGTAGCAATGAATGTCACATTTCATATGGGATGAATTTGGTACTAAAGGAGTATACCTAGCCTTACATGTCATAGTTGATATGATAGTACCATATACACTTGTGTTAACAACAGATCTTAATCTCATTTTTCTAATGTGTGCACAATGATTGCACATGCCATCAACAGGAAGAGATACAGAGACAATTTTCATGGGGCTCTTATAGCTGGGGTCTAATTAGCTCAAATTCTATGGTAGGCACATAACACAGAGTTGTACAAGGAAACATCTCACTTGATGTTAACTAGTGAAGCAATGATAATCACCCCCATTTTACAGCTGTGTTAACTGACACTTAGGTTAAATGACTTGCTCAAAGTCAAACATGTTCCATGTGCAGAGTCTGGACTTCACAAAGGCAATTTAACCGTGCATGACAGTATTGCCTTTTCTGTAGTGTGGCAGGGGAGATGAAACTTGGACAAAGATAAAATTATGTTACATGTAGAAACAGAATGCATATTAAAGAAGTGAAGCACAGAGTTTTGAATAGACCAAGAGGGTAAAGAGCATGTGTTAAGGAATGTCTTTATTGAAAAGGTAGACCAGCCTTAGGCTGCTGAAATACAGATGGTACGAAAGAGATGCCAAACTGGGTGGACTGTGTCCTGGGAGTAGGAAGTGTGAGTTATACTTGAACACTCGCAGCCATCTAGTAGTTAGTGCCCGTGTGCCCATGGACAGGGACAGATGATTAAGTTATGGTGCAGAGGCAGACAGGTCAGGCTATTCATGGCAGAGACTCACTTGCTCATTATATAAACTCTGTCCCACAGCAAGATACTGTAATAGTTTATGAAAGGATGGTGTCACCGTCAAAACTGTACCTTAGGAAGGGAAGTCCATGGTAGATGAACAGGAGTCAAGTCCTGAGGGGCAGAAGAGATTTTTCTCTCATTTGGTTTCTTTCACATGGTTGACAGGGAGTGAGCAAACCAAACTGTAGAGGGGAGTCATTGTTTATTCCTTCATCTCATCTGGTCTAAAACAACTATCGGTATCACCTTTGAAAATATTCTTCAGGCAACCACTCAGCCACCCACTGCTCCTAGTCCCTGAGACTGCTTTGTGTCTCATCTGGTCAAGGTGACGACCTCCCAAATATGCCTGCTAAGTAAGTTGTAGGCTAACGTGGCAGCCAGAACCACCCTTCCAAAGCTGTAACCCTCATCTTTGTTTTCTTGCCACAAATCCTCCAGTGACTCGCTACCAAGTTAGATACACGATGCTCCCATTGTGCTTTCTAATTCTCTGCATCAGGATTACAATTTTTTTTCTGAGAGCCCATACAGTAAGTACATTAGGCTCTGTGATCTCTGTCTTACAGTTACCAGTTGAACCTCACATAGTTTTTTAAAAGGATCTGTTCAAAGTTCAGACATCATTTTTATACTAACACACTGTACACATACAAGTTACAGCCTGAATTTGGCTTGTTGACTGTAAGTTGTCAAACCTTACCCTATACCTCAGTTGGCTCCCTTACACCCCTCTGATTTCAACTACCAGGAACACACTCCCTGTTGCTTCTGCTCCAGCCAAGCTGACCTCTCTATGCTTTTCAGAGAGCCTTGCTCCTACCACATGGACTTTGTACTTGGCTTTCCCTCTCCCCAGAATGCACTTCCAGTGTTCTCACAGCAGCTTCTACCCCCAAAATACCTCACTAGAGAAGTCTCCTGCTCTCATTCTTTGCCACATGACAGTCTCCCTTCACCACAGTCGTCTGTTTCATTATTAGCTGATGTGGATTGCTAAGTTAATTTTGTTGTGTATTTGCCTTTCCATCCCCTAGAATAAAGTAAGTTCCATGGACATTCAAACTAAAATGCTGTTTGTTATTTCAATGTTATTTCTATCAGTCTCAGATGCATTCGAAGACACTCACTAAATTTTCCCTAAGTGAATGAATAAATAATTGGTGTATGTGGCCCTTGGGTCTCCATTTTGCATAACAGAAAGAAGAGGCACAGGGAACTCAAAAAGCTTCTCACAGTTGCCTTGAACATGTGAGCTGGAATTTGAACTTGGGGCTAAGAATAAATTCTGCTAACTCTTTTGATATGAACCCTGTACTAATATTTCAAGAAAGATGTCACTTTTTACATAAAAGACACATGCAGCTAGCTCTTCACGGGGCAGTGCCCACACCTCAAGGCTGTGAGACTTTCTTTGGGGGGCAGTCCTATCCCCCCAGAAGTGGCCTTGAACGTCATCACTGGCAGAAGGATGCTTTTGAGTCACCCTATAATATGAGGGCGCACCAGGGAAAAGCTATTAAAAGTCCCTAATTCTATGTCTAGGGGAAGAATATGTCACTAGACAATTCAGTCATCTCACCTGTAATTCCAAGGTTAATTTTCATCATTGACATTTGTTTTTGAAGCTTCCAGGAAATAAAGCCTTTCATGAAGGTAAACTAGAAATCACATCCATGGAGGCCAAAAGCT